TTTCAACGACCCTTCTTTTTTTTTGCCTTTAAATCTTCAACATTTTTTGCAGGTTGACGTTGAAAATATGAGGCTTATATAGAGTTACCAAAGCTATAAAACATTTCATACTTACAAGTTTATATAGGCTAGAGTGTCGATGTTCTGCAGGGAATTATATCTTGACAAATAATTTTTTATTTTCTGATAATCGCCTTTATTCGTTGATCAATTTTATGCTGATAGAAACAAGGGAAATGATAGAGGAAGAAATAGTTTTGAATACGTGTGTGATTGAGCTGGTAATTTGATTTTATTTGCTGAAGGAAAAGGAGAAGTCTGTCATCAGTGATGAAAAAGAGCTGCGCGCACTTTGCTTTATTAGGTTAATTCAATTTAAACTTTCGAGAAACCTTACCTTTCCTTCAAGTTTATTCACTGATACAAACTTTTTGCTTTTAAATTTCTGACAAAATTACATATTTACATTGCGTTTTATCCTGACGTACCAATTGACTAAGTTTCTTCTCCATCATTTGTTGAGGCCAATTAATTAATACATTATTTCTTTTATTATCCACAATGAAACTCTCAATTATTCCATTCTGTATATTTTTTTAAACGAGTTTAACCGTGAAAAAAAACATTCTCCCCATTTTATTTAATTAGAACAATTTGATTAATTTAATGACGTTTCATGAGCATCTATGGATAATTGTTTTTAATTTAAAAAAATATTTAACCTGATCGACACATCCAGTTGAAATTAAAAGTACTATTAAATTAATGAATTTTTAGATTCTAATAAACTTGACTTTAAATATTCATTGAAATATTGGGTATTCAATTTCACTGGTATATAGATTATCGTCTTTTTCCTCTTTAATTAATACAGACCCTATCTCTTGACCTGATTCACTCTTGTTTGATCATGAACCCAAAATAATTTGCATACGTCTCGTTCGAGAATGCATACACTCAATATCAAAGGAGTCATATTACATACAAATATCATGGATTTAAAGGTAAAGCTTGCAATCAATAAGTTTCTAATAAGCTCTATTATTTTATATGTATATGCGAGTAATTCTATTATTATACTATGTAAATCAACCACAATCATCTTATATTAGTAGCAACTTTCTATTGAACTTTATTTGAAAAAAAAAAAACACTTTCTCTTTGGAAATCAATTTTCTATCTAATAAAGAGAAGTATTGTTTAAATGTGCCAATTGATATTCATTGGATGATTATTAATAAATGTTTGAATTATATATTTATTTATTGTAAATGAATTTAACATACATGATAAAAAGTATCAGTGATAAATCATGAGAAATAAATCCTCCAAGAATTACCTATTCAACTTCATATTCATTTAAATTATTGAAAATAATGAATCTGTCCAGTGCCAAACAGTTGGATGATATTTATGATCCTGAATATTCGTATTTTAAAATTCCATTAATTATGATTATTTTTGTCTACTACTTCATATACATAATATATTTAATATCAAGTTTAATTGTACTTTCAAATTGATGGATATAAAGGAAATTTATAAATATTCCTTTTCAAAAGGAAAACAGGAATAATAAATTGCAATCAAAATATTTGTTATTTTTAAAATTCACTTTATATTGCTATATAGAAAGCTAAACATGTTATTCTTAAAGGATACTCTATACATCTATCTGAAAGCACATTGAAAATATTCTATTCATATATTTTCATTGCTCTACTTCACGACCTATATTTATTCCTGATGTACCTTTAGATTGATCCAATAAGTATATCAATATGTAACACTTATATTTGAAATCCTCATTTTTTTTAAAAAAATAAATTATACTTTCACAAATTATTTATCGATGAGTTACACGACTCTAATTTCATTTTTTTTTTGTTAAAAAGAAATTACAGGTGTGATTAAAAATATTTGGATGCATTACCTATTATTTCTCCAGACGTTTATGTCAGAGAAAGTAGATTTTAACAAGACTTTCTCTATAGACGGCAATGTCTGATGAAAAAATGAAGGTCGAGATCAATTTTTACTGAATCTTAATTATACAAGAAGCAAGTGGTGGAATGAAAATTAATTTTTATTAATAATAAAAAAAAAAGATAGATATATAAAGTGCTTTATTAAAATTTTAACTATGCTTTTAGTTTTTTCCAACCCAAAATGTGTGGCCTTTCATTTAAAATTTTTCATTTACATATTTCTCCATCGAAAAATTGACATTGACGTTTTTTTTTCACTCTAAATTTTTTTGAATAATAAAAAAAAAAGTAATTACTGTCTTCCCGAGTATTTTATATTTTTAAATTTATTTTTTGATAAATTATCAAAGAATTTATCAAATTATCTATAGTGATTGAATTTTATTCTCTTAAATGTGTTCTCAACTATCATGGTGTAGAGGTGAAGAAGGAAGTATGCAATATATGACTAAAATTCATTCAAAACATTATATGTGCAAATATCAGAAATACGTGATGTGAATTTTGTCATATCGTAAATAATAGAAAATTCAATGAACGCAACATTAGTTTATATAATTATTATAGTATTTGTCTCTTGTATTATTATTACCAAAGTGCATTATTTTCATGATAACAAAAGATTGTTTATTATACAAAATATCATTATTGCACATTGAATCAATTAATCACTTCTTTCATTAATCTTACTGACAAAAAACATGACATCACTGATCAGAAAATGGTTTTTAAAACAAAACAATTCCCGTATATTTATTAAAAACTTTTGTTGGTATTCCATTTATTAGGTATTAATTAAATATTTATTGATAAGTTAACAATCTACTTCCTGTTTTATGCATCCAGAAATAATTAATTAATGTAAAACATACTAATTATAAATTCAGAGAGAAATAAATGATATAGAATTCATTATATTTTGTGTTTGTTATGATTTAAAATTAAAAATCAATTATACGTAACTTTAACAATAAAAGCTGATTAAATTTTATCTCTCTTCTCTCTTTTAGTTACACGAAAAAGGATGTCCAATTTAAGAATCACTTTTAGTTTATAACGAGAAAATAACTTTAAATTCTCCATAACATGCAACACACTTTTGTAATATTTAATTTTATTATTACAGGAATAATCTAATTGTTTACTCCAAAATATAGTTAAAGCAATTAAGTTTTTTTTTTTTAACATTTTTAATTCAATTTCAAACTGAATATTTAACTGGATAAATAACAATTATCTTTCTTCAAAAATAAACTTAAAAATAAAACAAAAAAATATAATCCTTTTATACGTGACTAAAAATGATGGAACAAAACCTATTGTGGTTTTATTATGAAAGTAAATAACCATGCCTAAATCTCAAAGCCGTTTTCGTGTACTCTAAATTGTGCTAACTAGGGCAATAAATAATGCCAAGAATTATTATTATTATTATTATTATTAAATAAAGTACCTTTTGTATGTAAGAAAAGAATGTTTCAATTTTTTTGACAAAAATTTTCAATGTCTTATTCATTTTGAAACATTTTCATTTAATTTTTTTATCTAATGTATATACTTTTACATTTACCAATATAGTTGTCTGTCTGTGCGGTGTAAACTTTTCATCGTAAACTTATATACAATTGAGTATAAACCAAGTTTCGTTGATGTACAGGCAAAGGGTCTTATTCTCACTCATTCTTTCTTCTTTTATTCTTTCTTTCTGTTTGGCAAAGTTTCGGGATAATGTCGTTGAAACACTGTGAACAAACGTGGGTATAGTAACAAAACTTTACTTTTACTAGATGCTCCCCAGATCCGTTCTCACTGGGTGGCCGGTTGACGTTCGCGTTTCGTTTCGCGTTAGACTTCCGAAAAGTGGCGTATGATAAATATATATTACTCTAGCGTTAGAGGAAAAATAAAAATAAATTGTTTTTCTATAATGCTGGATAATGGTAATCCTTCTTACATGAACTGAAAAACTTTTTCCAACACTTTTATTATATTTAAATAAATAAATGAATAAATATTTTATTCAAGTAATTGAATGAAATGTTTTTTCCTAAGTTTTTCGCTAGTTTAAGTGATTAGATGAGTAAACGTGGAAGTTATCGATTAAATCTACTCTATCATATCTCTAAAATTTAATGTTAGCTCAATGTAAAATCACTTTAGTCAAGTGAGTTGAACTTCAACTAAACTCTAATTAGATGATTCAATTCGAAATCAGATTATGATTTGAATAGTCACAAAAAGTACATTGATACTTAAGCTTTCAACAGTGGATTAAGTGATTAATTTTTTCTTTTCTTATTTATATCTCAAGGAGATAATAATCTCTTTGTATTTCAGTAATGACCAACTACATGCATGAGAATTAATATCAAATGTTCAATTATTTCAAAGGCTTTTAATTAATTACATTTCTAAATCAGCAGCACATTACAGTACTAAATGACGTTGATTATTTTTCAAGTATACATTCCCAATGTTAATATAATTTTGCATTAAATAATGCTTAGTTAAAAACACAGAAATTTTGTTTTTTTATAATGATTTTTTTTCTATAATGCATATGTTAAACTGTGCTCTCCTTTACATGTAGAGGTAACATTTGATATTCTTTCTTATTCAAAAACTGACACGTCATTATTTTTCTTATAGTACATTACAACAGTGGAATACATGAACTCAAAAGTATTTTAAAAAATAATCATAATTATATTATTTTTTATTAAAAGGATAATGTAATGAAAAAAAAAAAATAATCCACATATATAAATAAAAGAATAAAAAAGAGAAAATAGTAATCTGCAACAAAAAGAGAGAATAAGTAAAAGAAGGAGGAAAGAAAGAGGTCAAAAGCGGAAGTAAGGCTGAGACCTACATATTCCAAGAGGCCAATGAGACGGCGCAATGTGGCAAAAGCTATATAGTGTTCTCTTTTTCATCTTACTCTTCTTTGAATGTCAGAACGCGCGCGCACCTATCATTGGAACCCCACTGCTACCACGGTGGATGCCATAACGTCGTGCTTTGACCAACTCAGTTGGTTTCCTCAAACGCCAGTTGCTTGTTGGCTTTAGTCTTGATTGGTGCTATGAGTTTGTTTCCTTCCACGTACACGACAATGAATCGCTTTCAGAGCATCACACTAGTGACGTGTAGTATAATTCTTGTATTTATATCATCGTTAACAAGTCAATCAGTTGCTACTGATAATAAAAATCCTCATTTTAAAGTAGAAACACTTTTTATTCCTGAAATTTGCGAAGAAAAAACTAAAGTTGGGGACCATGTTACGATGCATTATACCGGCACGCTTGTTGATGGTACCAAATTCGACTCAAGGTCAGTGACTCTTGACTAATTATTTACCAACTATATCGATATATTTTACCGTTAGTTTATCGGTTTACTTTTACTTTGTATGCTCAACTTTGCCGGCTGTTTAAACTTTACCAGAAGGGAATGCGTTAAGTCAATTGTTTATTACAGAGGTGATTATTTTTACTCTGAACTTGTTACGAAGTAAAACATCTTTTAAACACATTTTATCATGAAAATATCATTTTTGTTATCGATTGAAGTAATTTTTAAAGTTTCTTTTACTTGATAGTTTAAAAAAAAAAAAATTGACATTTTAAATTGATGGAATTGATTGATGAGTTTTTTGATAATTAATAAAATTAATTGTGACAATTGATATTATTTTATTTAAATTAGAATTTTTGTTTCAAGATATTATAAACTATTATAAATACTTGAAATCTATAAAATGATATTTATAGAACAGTATGAAATAACAGTTCAGCTATTTGATCAATTGTAACTACTGGAGTCACTGTGCTGAGTGTAAATAATCTTAATTGAAAGAAAAATGAACAAACAAGTATCGTTAATTTATCTTAAAACTTTTTTTATTATCAATAATCAATATAAAGTGTACTAATCAATCATAAAGTACTTGAAAATTTTAGCAGACATACTTTTATAATATACTCTTCATTTTTTCAAGGAGTATAAATTTTACAATTTAATTATCATGATACTCATTTATCATAATTAAAGTTTATTACAAGTCCATTATAAAGTTTTTCATTTCTTTCAATCAGACATTATAAACAAATAATTTTTTCCAACAGTAAAAGGTATTTTATTAGCTCAAGAAATTTTTCTATTTTATTATCTTCATATACTTTTATAACCATCTAAAATGCTACTGTAATAAATCTACAGGATTATCGCTTATCTTGGTTTCGCGATTGAGTTAGGTAAAAGGATTATTCTCGTCATTTAGTTAGAAGATGAAAATTCTTTTATAAATTAGCTAATTATTATTATTATTTTTAATTTTTTGTTTTTTGCATCAAAAGTTTTCTCATTATTTTTATAATCTAATTATAAATAATGTATTTATTAATTAACACATAAATTTAAAAACTCATAAATTAATTTTTCATTTTCTCATTCATATATTATTGTGTAAAACTCAAATTTTAGATTTCAGTACTAATGTATTATACAGCAAAGAGTAAAAAGCTGATAATATTATCACTAAGTAAGTTAGAGGCTTAGAGAGAACCTCGTTAAGGTGGCCGTCGTTATCTCAGTCCAGGTACACGTCTCCGTTACACTATATACTTGTATAGCACCCGGAATAGTGGATGGCTTCCAAGCTTTGACGATACTAAAGCTGTGAGAAGCAGTGGGAAATCGTTCACGACACCAATCTCGTAACTCCTGTGAGTTTATTCCTCGTCAGAGAAAGCGCGTTAATTGAAATTTGAATCAGAGACAGCATCTGCCCAGATTAAGAAGTTGTGCGTTCAGCACTCTATCATCAGTATTATTTAATCGTATAATCTGATTGTTTTAAACTCATTTTTTTCCTATACAAAGTTACTTTATCAACTTTATTTATGCCCAACTAAAATTATTAATATTCTTCTTTCATTATTCTGAACGAAGTAAAAAAGTCACTGTCTCTCAACCGAAAGATGATTTTATTTAATTCATCAAGGAGTCTATTTAAATTGTTTCAAAGTCATTCACTAGATTAATTGATTTATTAAAAACATTTTTAAATGTGTCACGTTATTTAATTAATAATATAGAAAAGTAACAGAGCATTTTTCAAATAAGAACATAGCAATTTTCTTAATTTGTCCTTTAATTACAGTCAACATAACAGTAATTGTTAACTTGGATTTCTCCTTGCAATAAATGAGTTGATTTTTCTTCAGTTTCACATTCTTCATCTCTTCAATTACACACTTAGTACAACAATTTATTAACGAATTTGTTGAATGTTAATTAACACATTAAAAACACCAACTTTAATTGTTGAAGAAGTTGATAAGTATCAAGTCATCAGATATTAATTATCAACACCTTTCTTTGATTACCATCAAGGTTCACTCTCCAACCGCAATAGAAAATTACATGATTAAACAAAAATAAAACAGGTCATTAATTTACTTTATGAACTTGAATTGAAATATTTGAGTTAAAGTGACTTCGAGCATTAAGTCTTTCTTCTTAAGGCTGGAAATTACATGTAATCCTTATTTGAAAAAAAGCGTGAAGAGGTGTACACGTCTTGGTGATTATTGTTAAAGAGGAAAAGAACATGTACATATACATATATATATATATATACGATGACAGTAACTCGTTTCCTTTCTCGATTAGACTTAATTTGTGTGCAGTAACTACCATTGGGAAACGGAAACGGTAACGGCGTATATACCTTCTCCTTCCGCACACTTGACATGAGAAAGTGTGCATGCACAAATTTCACTTTTCACTTTTATTTACACAATATTTTCAAGTACACATAAATATATAATTGCATTGGCTACGACTTAGAGATCTCTTAAGCTACAAAAAAAAAAAATACAAAGAAAGAGTTGTATTATAAGCTTGTAATTATATAGACATATGTCTAGTGTCGTTTGGTTAATGGTCTGTCAAATTATTTATGAAATATTTGAATTAATATGTGAAAAAGGGACATGGTGAAGAGTAAAGCACGTTGTGTTCTATTGCTGAACGTTGAACGTGTCGCCCCTCGAGGCTGCAATGATATGAGTCTACGAACAGTTTCACGCGAGTTTGTTTCAGTCCCAAGAGCACTGTTGACAGAAATGGATCGATTATCCATCCACAGTATGATGGACTTTAGCCAGGTTTCATCTGTATCAAATTGAACAACGACGAGAGTTCGATTATACATACTTGCCAATCAATATCATACATGCATAGTCGTCACTACAACTCTTGGATTAGAATATAGTCAACGATGATGTCAGGTGGAAAATTTTAGTCACATCAATTCAACGATTATTGATAGAAAAAAATTCTAAATCAATATTTGTTGAATTTTTAAATATTTTTAAAAATATCTCTAGCTTGTCAGATTAAATTGAATTTAGTAAATAAATTATCAATCAGGTTTTTTTATTGAAAATTGAAGAATTAATTTCATTTTAGAAATTTATTATTGTAAAGAATCTAAGAGGAAGTAATAAAAACTGTTTGGATGGGAGTTTAAACTAAATGATAAAGAAATAAAATGAAAGCTTTTTTAATCATAACCAAATTTATCAGTAAGTCATGAATAACCTTTCTATCTTGGTAAAATTCCATTACAAAATCTCAACGAAATTCAGCTCTCAATAAAACAAAAAAAAGAAGTATTCCAGTGATGACATCACTGCTAGTACTCTCTCCATGTGTCAACAAGTTATATCTGAAACATGTGACACAATCTTTATTGGATACATTCTGATACATTGAAGATCACAAGATGCAAGAATATTTATCTCTTGTCAATTTTAATATCATATTCTATTTTCTTCTTGAATATGCCATATTTCATTTATTTTTCAGAGTTTTCTTCAGAATTTATTTATCCTCCTTATTTGAAATATTTCATCATAATAAACTTGATGATGAACTTCTCAAAAATAGCTTGGATTTAAGATACTTAATTTCCAGCTTCAAAATGGCATGAATTTAGTAAATGTCTTAGGAAATAGCTACCAAGAGAATGATATTTTAGTGAATCTACTTGGAAAAAAAAAATAGTAAAAAGTGTTAGGATGCACTTTAAATGATATACTTTAGAAAATCTGCTTAGTCTGATTGTTGTGTAGCATCAAGAAATGATAGCATCAAAGCAAAGCTTTTTTATGGTAATAATCACAATGTTTGAACTTGGAAATGATTAAAAAACTTTTATTGCTGAGCAAATAATAGAATCATACATTTTATCCGCATTCATAGATTTATTAGTAAAAATTTTTTTGCCACCTGGTTAAATGAAGAATGAACGGTATTCTTGTATTCTGATGACAGGAATGAAATATGAGAATTTAGCAAATTGGACTGATGTCTTTTTTTTTATAAACGGTAATCTCAAAAGCAGGATTTACTTTTCGAGTTCAACTCACTTCCTTGTTCACTCGCTTTTTTATACCTTCATATACTACTCACCTTCTGTTCTGAACTCTTTCACAGAATTGGAGTTGAGTGCTGAGTGAATTTTCGAGAATCGATGAGTTGCACAGGATTGCATTATCGGTCAACCTAAAAGCAATGATATCGTACAAGGGCTAACTCAGCTATATTTCCTGTAGACTATAGAAAGCAAATTTGCTTTTTACAATGAAACCAATTAATTTTTCTGTTTTGTTCATTTCTGCTGACATTCGTTAGGTCGAAAATAATTGATGATTTTAAATCAGTTTTAAAAGAGGAATAATTAAATGAGGATAAATCTGTAGAAATAAACTTACTTTACAAATTAACATACTTTTTTTGTCAGTTAGTTTGACTTTTTCATGCATGCTACCACTTTTAAACAAATTTTATCTGTTGCCCATAGTACTGGAGCATTTATTTTCTCAAGTCAGGACCACGACACTTGTGCACACTGTGCTACTGGTTTCTCCTCAACTTGGTAGAAATAATTAACAACCCTTGTAGAACAGCTGAGGGCACTCTGGTACACGAACTACTTGAATATCCTACTCGAAATTTAAGCTTGTACGCCTACCCACTTGAAATATTTAGATGTCTCCGTACATCACATTTACCTTCTGAACCTCGAATATTTTACTCCAAAAATTCCTTTCTCTATCCGTATTCACTCAATTTTAGGATTACTTTCAGAAATTTTACATCCTTTCTCTACCATGAATATATTTAATCATTTTTTTTTTCTTTTTCATTCCATCGATTTATTTACTGCCTCCAATTTCCTCCATGGCTCTGTGATATGTTTGTGGTACTATGATGGCAAAAATAATTTTCACGTATAAGTAGTTCATATTCTATAAAAAAAT